ACCCCCCAGAAGATTGCTTTTGGGTATTGGCTTTTTCCATTTCTTGCCCCTATATTTACAAACAAGTCCATAAATACATCCACTGAGGTAAAGTGATTGCATTAATTGCCCCAATTAATGACCTCTCTTTTCCACACTCTTTGCCCTACAATTTTGTAGTCCCTTCCCATTCTGATCCTGTGCTTGGTCATATAATTTCCTTTTGTGGAGGCTTGAAGAAGTACTTGCATATTTCTGCTTTCTGTTTGGAGCTCTGCCAGGAGCTTGAACAGAAGCCCAAGCTAACCTGCTGGAGGATGAGAGCACATGGAGCAGAGGTGAATTGTCCTAGCCACGACCTTCCTAGCCCAACCAGTCCCAACCAATCTATCAGTTGACCACAGAATATGAACAAGCCTGAAAGTAAGACTTGCCAAATCTGGTCCAGTAGAACTGCCAGCTTAATCTGCAGACTCATGAGAAACAATACGGATGGTTTGTTACATAACAATGGCTGACTAGTACAAACTCTTACCTCCATCTCTCCATGCTCAGTGGAAGAATCCTTTTTCCTTTGTAAGGCAAATTCATCTACTTGCCTTTTATCCCATTTTTGCATTTCAGATCTCATCCTTTTGATCATCTCTGTCTACATTGTATTTTCAACCTCTTGCTCCCTTTTGACCTCTTTCCCTTTTACATTAATATAAGCATGTCCAAATCTTTCCCATTAAAATAAAACAAACATATAAAAATAAACCTGTGCCTCCCACAAGCTATTGACCTATTCTGTCGGATTCTTTTCATTTATATTCCTTGAAAGAATAATAATTTATACTAATGCATTAGTTAGGGTTCTCCACAGAAACAGCACCAACAGGATGTATGTGAGTATTTATAGACAGAGATTTATTTTAAGCAATTGGTTTATGCAATTGTGTAGGCTCAGTGAATTTAGAATCTGATAATATAGGTTAGCAGGCTAGAGACTCAGGGAAAACTTACAATTGGAGTGCACAGGCAATCTGCTGGTAGAATATTTCTTGCTCAGAGGCCAGTCTTTGTTCTATTGTGGCCTTCAATTAATTAGATGAGGCCCACCCCTATGATAGAAGGTAATCTGTTTTACTCAAAGTTTTCCAATTTCAATGTTAATCTTATCCAAAAAACATCTTCACAAATGAACAAAAATTTAAAAAACAAAAAAAAAGAAGGAAAAAAACAAAGAAAAAATAAAAAAAATAAAAATCATAACAGAACAAACACTATAATGTTTGACCAAATATCTGGGTACCATAGCACAGCCAAGCTGACATATAAAATTAACCATCACAACTTGCTACACCCATTTTTTTTTAATCCATTAACCATTCACCTTTTCAGTTTTACCAGGGCACGTGACACTACAGATGCTCTCGTCTTTGTCCTTTTACTTTCTTTATGGCCCTCTTGCTTGGATCGCTTCCTGTCTCTCTGACTGCTGCTCTTCAGGTTCATTTATGGCCCGCCTTTCTTCTCTTTCTTTCTTATTCTTTTTTTTTTTTTTTTTTTTGAGGCAGGCTCTCTCTATGTTACCCAGCCTGGTCTCAAACTCCTGGATTCAAGGGATCCTCCTGCCTCAGCCTCTCAAATACCTGAGATTATAGGTCTAAAACTGCACATCATCCTTAGAGTTGTGCTTCCCAGACCACCTAGGCCTTCTCATGTACCAGTGGCTCCAGCTACCAAATCTGTATCTTCCACTTAGCTCACTCTTCTGAGCTTTATTCATTCATTCTTTTGTTGAGGGTATTGATAGAGTGTCTATATTAATGAATGCTAAGCCCCATGGGGCCTTGTGGAAACTTTTATAATGTCCCCCCAGAACGCTGCCTCCTGTTATTCACACCCTTGTTTTACTCCTCCCTTTGAGTGTAGGCTTCCAATGAACAGAATACAGCAAAAGTGATGAGATATTACTTATGAGATTGGGTTATAAAAACATTCTGGCTTCTTTCTTATTCACTCTCTTTTACCCTCTCTTAGAGCTTTTTCCTTCTATCTTTATCAGAGGTCCTTACTTTGGGAGGAGCAAGCTGACTTGTTGTGTGGGAAGCTTTACGAAGAGGCTTGTATGGCAGGGAACTCAGGTTTCAGGCCAATAACCAGAAATAACTTGATGCCTGCTGCCAGCTATGCTAGTGAACTTGAAAGCAGGTCCTCTCCACTTCAGTCTTGAGATGACTGCCTCCCGAGTCCGTAACCTTCTGAGAGACCCTGAGTCAGGGGCACCCAGTTAAGTTGTATAACTAATGAGCTGGTCAAAGGGATGCGGATGAAAGTGGTGTGTGCAACTTCTGGAATGTGCCCTTGAAAGGAAGGTAACATCATTGTTTCCCTTTGACTCCTTTTCTGCTGGCTAGAATGCAGTGTAATTGTTGTGGTGAGTTGAGGATTTTTTTTTTTCTATTCTCCTTTTGTTTTTTTTTTGAGATGGAGTCTTGCTCTTGTTGCCCAGGCTTAAGTGCAATGGCACTGTCTTGGCTCACTGCAACCTCCATCTCCCTGGTTCAAGCGATTCTCCTGCTACTCAGCCTCCTGAGTAGCTGGGATTACAGGCACTCGCCACCACATCCAGCCAATTTTTGTATTTTTAGTAGAGACAGGGTTTCTCCATGTTGGTCAGGTTGGTCTCAAACTCTCGATCTCAGGTGGTCCACCTACCTCAGCCTCCCAAAGTGCTGGGATTACAGGCATGAGTCACCGCGCCTGGCTGAGGATTGTTGATCCACAGAAACCATGAGAAAACAAATATCTATGGTTACAGGCTGCTGTGTGTTTATGTAATTTGTTTTACAGCAATAAATAACTAATGCAGAGCTGGCTACTCAGGATCCATCATCAAATAATAAATGGTTTTTGACATCAATGATCCTTCAGTCCATTGGGGGGATAGAACAGTGTTCCCGTGACCACTGCACAATATGGTTGGTGTTAAAATGTACGCAGCAACTGATGGGAGCACAAAGAGAATTTCAACCATACTTGAAGGTGAAAAGATTCACTCAGTGGATTTTATTTTGTCATTGAAGAGGCTAAATCATTTGATGAAAATGAAGAGAAAACGATGGTGGGATACTTGAGGAAAAAATGACTTTTTAGCACCTATGCTGGGAAGAATAGTTGAAGGAATTGGAAAGGAAACAACTAATGGTATTGCAGTGTAGTTGGGATTGGAAATGATGGACTTACACAATCTTCAATCTGAGGCTGGGGTTTATTATTCAAATACTTTAGCAATCTGGATATAAGATTAGAGAAATTGATGGCTGAATTTGGGATTTCAGAGAACATGAAACAGAAAAGCAAGGAACCAAGGAAGATGAGCTGACAAAAATAGTAAGAGAATTCTTGCAGTTCTGGAACATAGAATTTAGACTGACTAGGAAAATAAAGACAATCAAAGATGTGGAGAGTTTAGGGAAAATGCACCTGATTCTGATCCCCTACAAATCACTGAGATTAAGGGAGTCAATTCTGTGTTTGGTTTAAGCCTAGGTGATGTACTCCCTTTCTGAGGTGCAGAAAATGCACAGCTGAGAAGAAAACTCAGGTATGCTACCATGAAAACCATGAATGATCACTAGTTCTCCATGTTGGTCAAGTTTCTTCTAGGGTAAGTGGTAAGGTTTCTTCTAGTTTCTTCTAGGGTAAGTGAATCCCTAATTTTCACGGGGAGAAATAACAACTGTATTTCCTAATGTCTCCTGTAGCTAGAGATAGCCATGTAGCTAATGAGCTGGTCAAAGGAATGTGGAAGGAAGCAGTGTGTGCAACTTCTGAACTGTGCCCTTAAAAGGAAGGTAATACTGTTTTCCTTTCACTCTTTCTGCTGGCTGGAATGTGGTGTAACTGTGGTGGTGAGCTGACTTGAACCATGAGTAAGAGACTACATCCTAGGGAGAGCAGAACAACAGAAGGGGCCCATATCCCTGAATGATCTCATAGAACCTTCACACCAGCCCTAGTATTACATGAGGGACAAATAAACTTGTTCATTTTTCAAGCCACTTTGAACGTGGGTCTCTGTAACAAGCATCAGGACCTATATTTCACCTATTTCAGATGTCCACTAAAAAAGATAAGCTGGGAATATATATAACCATAGCATAAGTCAGAAAGCAGTAAGCAATAAATAGAGGCACATGTAAAAATTAATGATGTGGATAAAAATCACCTCAAGTCAGGCTGGGAGCTTTCATAAGAGGTTAAAATTTCTGACCCATGACAGACTCCGGACATTCCATATGGTGGTGGAGTGCAGGCCAGGGAATGTGACTACGTGCTCTTACCAATCATCCATTGATTTTCCTATCAGTTTTTTGACTGATTTTATTGAGAAAAATATTATATGGCCCAAGATAAAACTGGAGTGAATCGCAGAGGAGAAATTATTCAGGGCCCTTTTGTTACCTAGAGCTGTAGTAACTAAATAGGTGACCACTGGCTACACGTGGCTAATTAGATTTAAATTAATTAAAATTAAATAAAATTTTACAACTGAGTTCCACACACCAGCCACATTTCAAGCGTTCAGGGGTCACAGGTGGCCAGTAGCTTACTGTATCGGACAGGACAGATAGGGAACATTTCCATCATGCCAGAAAGTTCCATTGGACAGTTCTAGAGAGATCTAAGAGACAGTATGTGTCTCTTGCCCACCCATACTCAATCTCGCCCTCAGTCTGCATGCAATCCAAGCCCAAAGACTGGTCCCCAGGCTCTTCCACTTCCTACAGAAGATTTAAAAACTGGTAGTGCCAACAGAAAGCATTTAGCCTAGTCCCGCCAAGAAGGTGATGTGGTAATAAAGTCCAAGATTCTGCCACATAAGTCACATCATCAAGTCAGCGGCGAAAAGGAGGCCACGTCCCGGACCCGCTGAGAGGAGGCGGGACAAAGGGGCGGGGCGAGAGCGGCTCCCGGTGGGCGCCGCCCAGAGGCCGGGGGCGGGGCCAAGCGCGGCTGGGCGGGGCTGTGAGAGGCCGGCCGGGGGCGGAGCAGCTGGTGGGTCGGCGCGGGCCCAGCCGTGCGTGCTCACGTGACGGGTCCGCGAGGCCCAGCTCGAGCAGTAGTCCCGGCGAGCGAAGATGGCGGCCGAGAGGGAGCCTCCTCCGCTGGGGGACGGAAAGTCCACCGACTTTGAGGAGCTGGAAGACGGAGATGACCTGTTCACCAGCACTGTCTCCACGCTAGAGGTGAGACCGCGTCGCTGTGGGTGCTGCGCTGCGCCGCTGCCGCTCGTCTCACCTTTAGGTGCCTTTCCTCTGCCCCGACTTGCCCTCCCCCTCCCCTGGGTTTGCAAGGACCGTCTTGGGGTGACACCTGTGACGCGGTCCCCACCTCCGGTGCCTGTCAGAGGGCTGTGGCTTGGGTTGAGCGGCAAGGCCTCCTCAGGAGAGCAGCCTGCGGCCCTAGGGTGCCGACCTAATCCTCTGAGGGGCCGGGACATTGCAGCACCCTTTCCCAGCTCAGCTGGCCTTTCTCGGTGTCACTTGCACCTCCTCCTCCTCCAAGACAGAAAAGGGCTTGCTCTGCATCCCAGTAAACCTCCAAGGAGCTCCCTGGGGGCTTCGGTAGCCCTTTTGGAGAGATGCTCGCTTTTCGTTTTCCAAGGGAGGGTGTGCCGCTGCCCGGGGAGCTCAGTGAAGAGAGCGCTGAGCGGCTGAGGGTCTGTGGGGAGCGAGTGGGTGCACTCTCCCAGGAATAGTCCTTCACGGACTACTGGTTACCCTTGAGGGAACTGCTTCTGATTTGGACTGCTAAATAGGTAAATGCATTTGCCTGTTTTTGTTTGTCTTTAGTTCCTAGACTTTTAAAAGGTCATAGTACTTATGAAATGTAAAGCTGAAGGCGGGATTAGTCCAGGAAACTGCTGTTGTGTTTTGGGTTTTTTTTTTTTTTCCCCAAGTTACCAAGGGAGAAATAGAAACAGATCTCCACTCCTTTTTCCTCTTTTCTCGCATGATCAGCGATCTCTGAAGCTGTGTGTTCCTGTTTTTGTCAGAGGAAACACCCTCTGTGAACTTAACTCTGTTGGGCCCTCCTGTATCCAGTTCACATTTGAATTGCTTTGCATTTGATGAGAGCACCCACACACACCTAACAGCCCAATTTTAAGTGTGTGTATGTGAATTAAAATGTAAGAAATTTCCCAGAGAATTGTTTACCGTAGGCTGTACCTCCTTATAAAGTACTTTTTAATAAGTTCTCTTGGCTTTTTCAACTCTACACCAAATCAATTGGAAATTACTGTAAAATATCCATTATCTGAAATTCAGTTACCTGAAACTGGAAACCCAGAAACCGTTTTCAGCACTGATCACATTCTGCTAATTGCATGTGCTATGTCCCAGACAAACCCCACTTCCCCTCAGGTTATAGGTTCCTGCGGCTAGTGTTAGTGTCCTGATCTTCTTTGTGTCTCTCACAAAATCTTGAACTTTTGCATTTATTAGGTTGATGCAAAAATAATTTTAATAGCCAAAAGCCGCAATGACTTTTGCACCCACCAACCTAATAGTAAAAGTTTGCTTGAGTTAAAACCAGCACCTCCTAAAATTAGTAAAATTATTGTGTATAATATATTTTCGGGGATTAGTATCCTTTTAGCCCTTTATACTTACTGAACAGCTATTTTTTACGTGTACATGTGTTGAAAGTGTCCAGGATCCTAAGACCTGTATTCCTTTTGGAGGATATAGTTTTTCTACCAGCGAGAATCAGAACAAACTTGATTGACTGTAGTGCGAACTAGAATGTTAAGCATTCAGCTGGGGGTTGTTTAGACTTTAGTAAAAATAAGTATAATCTATATTTCCCATGTGGTTGGAACTCTTTTGTTTTTTTTTAGATGGAGTTTTGCGCTGTCGCCAGGCTGGAGTGCAGTGGCGCGATCTCGGCTCACTGCAACCTCCGCCTCCCGGGTTCAAGCGATTTTCCTGCCTCAGCCTCCCAAGTAGCTGGGACTACAGGCGCGTGCCACCACGCCCGGCCAATTTTTTGTATTTTAGTAGAGACGGGGTTTCACCATGTTGGCCAGGATGGCCTCGATCTCCTGACCTCGTGATCCTCCCACCTCAGTCTTCCAAAGTGCTGGGATTACAGAAGTGAGCCACTGTACCCCACTGAACTTTTTAAAAAAACAGAATGTTTTCTTGATTTTTGCTCAAAGAAAAAAAAGCAACGTTTAACTTTTTTTCAGTAATTAATGTAATGCCCTGTGAAAGTTGTAAACACGTTTGTTTTTGATTGTTCATCTCAGCCCCTTATTCAATGTACTCATTTAGGTTACTAATTTTCAGAAGGCGGTGTGGCTATGAGATTTGTAAAGTCAGATTTTTCTTTTTTCTTTTCAAACTTGGGAAGGATATATAGCAGTATTTCTTAATATACCAAAACCGTTTTAAAGGAATGTTCTTTCAGTACTTCACTTTTCTTTTAAACAGTGCTTTTCAAACTGTAGTGTGCTGGAGAATCCACAGTATTCATCCTTAAAATGCAGATGTCTGTGCCTCTTTGGAAACTGCATGTTTAATAAGTGTTCTAGATCTGTGTTTTGCAATCTTTATAAATAGGGATCTTGTTGAAGCGCAAATTCTGATTCTGTAGGACTGGGTAGAGCCCAATATTCTGCATTTTTAACAAGCTTTCCTGATATTAGTGCTTCTGGTCCACAGACAACATTGAGTTGCAAGGCCCTAAGTGATTCTGATGTAAATTTTCAGACTTGAATAGTTATTACCTAAGAAAATATATACTACCTAAAACATAAAATTGAAAGTAAGACATATAAATGAATGTCTTCTAAGTAAGTCAGAGTTTATTATATTATTCATGTAGGAACTTTTTCATTTGAGAGCATTTAATTTGCGGGGGGATCAACTGAAATTTAAGTGAAAATCATATTAAGTGAAAATCAATTAAAATTTAAGTGAAAAGCTTCAATGGCATACTTGTTAAACTTATAATGCCTATGCATTAGTATATCTGTACATGTAGTGTATTTTTTACTCTTACTATTTTTAATTGACACATAATGTACATATTTATGGAATACAGTGTGATGTTTCAATACATGTGTACAATGTGTAATGATCAAATCAGGGTAATTAGCTTATCCATTACTTCAAACATTTATTAGTTGTTTGTGTTAGGAACATTCAAAATCTGCTCATCTAGCCCTTTGCAAATATACAGTAAATTGTTGTTAATTTTAATCAATGTATGGTGTTCTAGAACATGACAATTTATTCTTCCTATTTAGCTGTAATTTTGTATGTTACCCCATTTTTGACTACTGCCCCCTTCCCAGACTCTAGTAATGACTAGTCTACTTTATACTTACTTAAGATCAACTTTTTTAACTTCTGCATGAGAACATAAGGTTTTTGTCTTTCTGCGCCTGGCTTATTTCACTTAACATAATGTTCTCCAAGCTCATCCATGTTGTTGCAAATGACAGGATTTCATTCCTTTTTGTAGTTGACTAGGATTCCATCATGTATGTATACCACATGTTCTTAATCCATTCATCTGTTGATGGATACTTAGATTGCTTCCAAATCTTGGCTATTGTGAATAGTGTTGCAGTAAACATGGGAGCACAGATACCTCCAACATACTTATTTCTTTTACTTTGGATATTTACCCAGTAGTGGGATTGCTGGATCATATGGTAGTTGTATTTTAGTTTTCTGAGTAAACACCATACTGTTTTCCATAATGGCTATACTAATTACATTCCCATCAGCAATGTATAAGAGATACATATCCTTGCTAGCATTTGTTATTTTTTTGACTTTTTATTTTTATTTGTTTTTATTTATTTATTTTTTTGAAACAGTCTCACTGTGTCACCCAGGCTGGAGTGCAGTGGTTTGATCTCGGCTCACTGTAATCTCGACCTCCCACGTTCAAGTGATTCTCCTGCTTCAGCCTTCTGAGTAGCTGGGACTACAGGCATGTGCTACCATGCCCTATTTTTTGACTTTTTAACAGCTATTCTGATTGGGATGAGATGATAACCTTATTGTGGTTTTGATTTGTATTTCACTGATGATTAGTGATATTGAGAATTTTTTTCTTATGTGTATATTTTTTAACCCAATATTAAATTCCTCCCCTTTGAAAATTAATTGGAGCTCACATAAAACTCTATCAGTAAATAAAACATTTCAAACCCCTACTGTATATTTCTATAAAACAGAAAAGGGATGGAAACAGAAGAGAATGAGAAGGGAAAAAAATCTGTTAGAAGCTTGTTCTTTTATGGTACCTGAGAGGCAAGCCTTTAAGTTGTTTATGAATACTGTTTTATTCATTAAATGGTACAACCCTAAGCTTAACAGTGCTTGACCTTTAAATACCGTTTTGCTTGGAGTAGTAGATAGTACATTTTTTTTTTTAAGATCAGGAATTTATATTAACTACCTGGTTCTTTTTTAAAAACAGCTGTGTTGAGATATAGTTTATATACCATGCAATTTACCCATTTGATACGTACAATTTAATGGTTTCTACTATAGTCACAGATATGTCCAACATCACCTCAAAAAGATACCCTGTACCCTTTAGCTATCATCACACACCCTAATTCCCTCATCCTCTCTGCCCTCAACTCTAAGCAATCACTGATCTACTTTCTGTCTTTATAGAGTTCCTATTTTGGACTTAATAGGAATGAACTGTATAATATGTGGTCTTTTGTGATGGGCTTTTTTCCTTTAGCACAATGGTTTCACGGTCTGTAGCATGTATCAATACTTAATTATTTTATATGACTAAATAATATTCTATGGTATGGCTGTACCACAGTTTGTTTAACCATTTGTTGATGGACATGTGGGTGTTTTTCACCTTTTGGCTCTTATGAATAATGCTGTTCTACATATTTGTGTACAAGTGGAATTGCTGGGTTATGTGGTTACTCCATGTTTAATAATTTGAAGAGTTGCCAGACTGGTTTCCCAAAATGGAATGAGTTGGAGGTACTTTTTTTTTTTTTTTTTGAGGCAGAGTCACATTCTGTGGCCAGGCTGGAGTGCAGTGGCATGATCTCAGCTCACGCAACCTCCACCTCCTGGATTCAAGCGATTCTCCTGCCTCAGCCTCCTGAGTGGACTTACAGGCACATGCTACCATCCCTAGATAATTTTTTTTTTTTTGTACTTTTAGCAGAGATGGGGTTTCACCATGT